ATTTTTATCATATAATAGTTATATAACTATCATATGATAATCATAAATGGTAAAATTCAAAGGTTTCTGCTAAGTACAATATTATGTGTTTACAGAAACGGTCTATATCACAGAATATGTTTATATCACCGCAGAATGCCACAGAAAATAGTGAATTGTATAGAAAGATCACATAATTTAACCAAAAAATAACTTTCGGAAAGGTGGACGAGCACGTTTGTCGGAAGTTTCGGAAACATATGGGTCGTCAATAAAATTTGCTCATATTTAATTAATCATTTTACACCGCATACTGTAATTGCACATAATCCTCAAATTTCGCTCACATCACAGAATTTTATTTTAGCACCACAAAAAATCATCGTCCCTGCTCAAGTACTGATTGAGGTTTTTATTTTGATCTATCGTAGGAATGTGCATCGCCACAATTATAAGTAAATCACAACTTGAGTAAATCTCAAAATGTTACCATTCTAAAATGTTATGAGAATAGTTAAATTACGCTCTATCTATCCACGTAGTTTATATTAAAATCTTACGGCCAACTCTTAAATTCCGATCATTCAAATCTCCATAACCTATTGTTAAAGATTATTATTACTTTTATCGCGTGGCTTTGTGCTTTGCTTTTTTTTTCGATCGCATTACTAATAAATAGTTTTGATAACTTGGTTAAGTCTTTTTTTGAAAGAATTCTTGAAGTTTCTATAGATTTAAAAAATTGCCTTTAGCATGTTTATCTATGATGTATTTGTTATACATCCTATTCGAAGCGGTGTAAATTTATGCATCAGATTGAAATGCATGTAGTAAATATCATAATAGAGGCAAAACAATAAAACACTGTCTTGAATTCTTTACATTATCAACTAAACAATAATAAAGATTCGTTTAGTTCGCATGTCTGAAGTTATAAAGCAAAAGCATTGATCGATTAAGAAAAATTCATACCGGTAAATTTGTCCTTTTCATCTCTGAGCTAAAATTAATATCAATGTTACAGCTGTTCCCATAAATTTTGGGGCAACCTAAAAATTTGTCGTTTCCCGAAATCTATTCGGTTTCGTCCTAAAGGTCACCTAACTCTTCAGAATCACGTCATTATCTTCGGAACTTCAGTCCGGAGATAGCGATGTATTTTCCAGAGAGTTAGATGATTCATAGGATGAAACCGAAGAGATTTCGGGAAACGAGCAAGCTTTTAGTTTGTCCCAGAATTTATGGGAACGGCTGTAATATAATTTTAGGTTCAAAGTAATTTTGTATAATTTATATTGCACATATGAATTAGGTGTGCACGAAATAAGAATACTTAGGGAGCATTGTATAAATATAGAAATAATGAGGAACATGTCAAAGAAGTGGCAAGGCGACCATTATTGCAAGATTGGATGATTTGTCGTTTAACGATCTTATGGTATCTTGTAAACGGAATTCTCATATGAGTGACGCCAAGGGAAAATGGGAAGTCACATTTTTTCCTTGGCGTCACTCATATGTTCCTCCTCGTGTAAATAAAGTCATTTACTCGAGAAATAGTAATATCATATCAAAGTTTAATCTTAAAGTCTAATCCGAGAAATCAGAAGTCAGAAATCGATCGATTTTTTTTTTTTGGCAAGAGGATACAAAATTATGCAAACCGCAATACTGTAATAGGTTGTCGAAAATTGCAATTGAAAAAAATCAAAATCATAATTTACTGGAAAATTCGGTGACCTTTATCAGGAGTGTACAAAGGCTGTTAATTGAGGCACATTAATTAGATGACGAAATTCGTAATTTAAAATTTCAATTTTCTATTATTGTCTATAAACACCTATTTCTACATCATGTTCTTAATGATATAAAGTGATTCAATTTTCGAAAAAAAAAATTCTATAAACCTTTATTAAAAAACATTCGTCTTATAGTTTCACCGTTTTTATCTTTTAAATTCCAAAATTCCTCTTCTAATTTTAATGGATCTATAACAGCTTTTTGCGGAAAAGCCGCGATTGCTAATGGTAAAGAGACTGTTAACGACAACGTTATAAGACCTTTAGTATAAAATATTGAGATATCAGTACGAATTAAAATGAAGAAAACAACATGATAGAAAATTTTTTATTAATAAAAAAAATCACATACCAAAATTAATAGGAATGGCAAGCTTAGGGTTATTTCTTAATAATTTCGTCTTTTCAAGTTGCGAGAGTATAAGCGGTGGAATTGTTAATACAGGACAATTAGTGAATATGCGAGAGATTGCAACCTAATTAATAAAGTTTATTATGATTTATTAAAGATTTATCAAAAAAAAAATAAGTAAAATAAAAAGGTTTCGGTTTCAAACCTGTCCAACAGCACTTGCACCGGCCTTTCGTGATTTACCCAAATTATTCCCGTTAGCATCATAAACATCAATCCCATCTCTAGCTTAAAAATTTACAAACACTTATTGTTAAATATATTGCATCGAATCAAACATAAACACAGCTTAATGATTACAAACCTGATTTCCTTTAACCGCATTAAGTAAACATTAACAGTTCCAGCACTTGCAACAGCTACAAAAGGTACCAATCTAGCTAAAATTCCACGAATTGAAGGAGACAAGAATTTTAGACGTGGTACAGCTTGTGTTAAACCAACGGCTAATCCACATGATGTAGTTACAGCTGAAACGTAAGCGGCTATTTAAAAATAAGTATGTATTAGCGAACCCAATTATAATTAGTTTATAGAAATTCAACCACATTTTCAAAATAGAATAAAGCTTACTAGCAGTTTCCTTAAAGCTCATCAAAGTAGTTTTATTAGCATTACTATAATTTATAGCAACATTAATACTTTGATTAGCCCATTGCCAGAATATAATACTTTTCATCTAATAAAAAAATTTCATCGATACGATGAGATTTGTATAACTAATAATATTTTTAAAGAATAATTAAAAAAAAGAAATCTTGTTAATATATGATGAAACTTACACTAGGATTTGGCATCAACATACCGGCGACGACAACAAGATTAGTCGGTACAAAGCATGACATTCGAAATGGTAAAAATACTGGTTCACCAGTATCAGGGTGAACTGTTGAATCGACAACTATTGTTTATATATTTAATATTAGTATTGAATTAATCAAGCTCATCTTATTATAATAATTTGAATAAATTACCTTTTTTTGCTTTCCATAAGCGTTCAGGGTCTACATATTTTAATTTTCCTGAATTATAATCATTAATTAGTTTTTTAGATTCTTCAAGGCCAGCTCTTGAAACGAATAATGTCCTAATTCATTTATCATTCGGATAAAATTTAAATTAAGATATATAGACTACCAAACAGATTTCAAAGACAATCAATACCTTATGTCTGTTACATCGATAAAATGCTTTACGCGTCCGATATACGTGGATTGATCATACCTTGATTTTGCTTTTTTGTTTGAACGAAAAAAATTTTTCGGAATTCGATCAAGAAATCAAAGCACAATGATTAAAATTTACATTGATTAAATTGAAATGATAGCATACATAAATCAATATTCGGGATAGACTCCGCGTTGTTCGTTGTAACGGTCGCCATGATTTTAAAAAGAAATTGGCGAATCCTTACAAAAAAAAAGAAATTTCGACATCCTAAATAAGGATCGATCGTTACACTTATTCATTCAAGGCAATACTGGTATCGATATGCAGAACATCACCGTTTTCTTTTTCTTTTTATGATAGTCATCGTTATTCTGATACGTACTAACGCTAGCATTATATATATATAAATTTTCGAAATAATTATTACAGATACAGTACATTTAAAATTGCTAAATTGGAATTTTGATCCTTTGGCTATTTATCTTTTATAACAATCCGCATCATTTTTTTTCATTTATTCCTAATGTGTTTAGCAGCTATAACCCAATTTTGCGGCTCAAATGATATTTCAAAGAACCTAAAAATATGCATAGATTTGATTAATGATGCTTCTCAAAAAGGTGCAAAGGTTTGATTGAATATTTTCAATAATTTTACTATAAAATTTAAAATCGGAAACATACAAGTTTTTCCCAATTTTACAAATTAGATGATATTCTTTCCGGAAGCATCGGATTTCATTGCCACTAACACCGAAGAGTCACTATCTCTGACATCATCTATAGAAAATTTGCAATTTATTGAAGAAATTAAAAATTCTGCTAAAAAGAATAATGTTTGGGTTTCTATTGGAGTTCATGAAAATGTAATTTTTTTTTTAAAAAAAAAAACCAAAGATTTATTTGCATGTGTCAATTTTATGATGACATCCACAATTAACATACCTATCTAAATTTTTTTTTGATCCTGTTATATTCTCTAAATGATCTAATTATTACCTTTTTTCTTTTGATCACGAATCAGAGTCACCTTCCTTCCCATATTTATAATTCTCACCTCCTAATTACTTCATCTGGTACCCTTTTCCATCCTATTTACCACAAACTTCATTTATTTGATATTTCTATACAGGATGGACCCCAGCTTCTAGAAAGTAATTATACTCTAAAAGGCGAACAAATTATAGATCCGGTAGAAACGCCTATTGGTAAAGTGGGAATGATGGTTTGTTATGATATAAGATTTCCAGAATTGTCTATTGAATTGAGGAAAAGAGGTGCAGAAGTGTTGACATATCCTTCAGCTTTCACAGTTAAAACTGGAATGGCTCATTGGGGTATGTAATAATTTAGTGTGAATAATTCACTATATTAGAATATATATATGTGTGCATAAATTTTTTTTTTTTAATAATTTTAGAAGTTTTATTACGTGCTAGAGCTATAGAGACTCAAACTTATGTTATTGCAAGGTTTGTATTTATTTGACAATCCATTATCAAAGTTCTATGTATTTTATTAATTATTTTTATTCACATTGTAATTTTAATAGTGCACAAATTGGACGCCATAATGAAAATCGCACAAGTTTTGGTAGTGCAATGGTAATTATTTAACTTTTTATTGATTAATTATTTTCTTGGATTAATAAATAACCTTTTTTTCAAATTAATAGATAGTAGATCCTTGGGGAACAATTCTGGCTAGATGTCCGGAAACCACATTACCGACATTTGCTTTGGCAGAAATTAATCTTGACAGAGTAAAAAATATTAGAATTGGCATGCCTGTTTTGGAACATAGAAGAACTGACTTGTTTGAGTGAACCTCATTTTACTAAATCGTGATCCTTTCGCTCAAAAATAGTAAATAAGAGAAGTGATACAGAAATCAAGCAATTAAAATGTTATAATCAATATTTACCATTCCCAATGTTCAGTATACTAATATTTCCATCTAGATTTTATACGAAGGCATTATTACCATAATTAATTTTATATTATCGTATTCGTCAATAAAAACATGCCAACTTAATTAAAGAATTAGGTTTATTTAGTTTAACTATTGCTTAGAATCATTAATCGAACAAAAGGGAGTTTAAATGATTTGTTTTAGTTAAAAACAAGTCTTCACATAGAATTCAAAAAATAATGTCGGGCTCTAACTTTGCGGAGATTATAGTCCAGTAATATTGGTATTCGTTATATAAAGACCCGGCATAGAATGTGTTGACTGCATATTTGCAAAATACTGTATGTAAAAAAAAAAAAAAAACAGAATAAAACTTTTTACTTTAAAAATAGTGCTATTTTACCGGTGGTATTTTATGAGAGAGAATTTTATGTTTGAACATTGTAAACGATGTAAAAGATTATAACAATTCACCGTGTTAATTTGTTGGATAATATATAGTTATTAACAAAAAATCAAAAAAGCAAATATAGCAACCAAAAAATTCATAAATAAATTTAATAAAATTATACTTACATGTAATAATTCTGTGTACGTATTAGTTAAATATGTATTATCAGATATGAAATGCGTAGTTTAAAAAATATTAATTGATAATTTAGAATAAACATAGTTGTAGATTTATACCTGCCACCTAATAATTTAGCAGAAGCATTGATTAAAACGTATATTGTTAGATGTAAAAAGTTATCCCATGGGTACTATGTATACAACGGTGGAAAAAATCCTCATATTCGTTATACTTTATTAAATACAACGTGATTAATAGTCAGAACTGGAAATTTTTTTCATTTTTATTACTATTATTATACACAAAAATATATCAAATATACCAGGAAAGATGTTCGTCTACTTACAAAATCTTGCATTTGGTTGGATGCCACAGTTGGCTATGATTTCTAAATATGCAAACACGGGTTTGCGATACCATGAGACTGAAAGGTGGCAAAAATTCAGTGGCTTCGTGAGTTCGAACCAAGAACCTTTTTTATTTTTATGGGCATTTAATGAGTTTGAGCCGTCTATATCAGGAACCCTTTCTATTTTTATTTTTATGGCATTTCCTCGTGAACTGCACATTTATATTCAGTTTCGTTTCGATAGCGTGCATTATATAATATATGCACAATATACCTATTCACCGACACTCATTTCACCAATAAGCTTTATTTTACAGACAGACAAATTCATTTTATAGACAGCATACTTAATCGACAGCTCATTTTACAGACAAGTTTTTTCATAAATTGCACTAACTTTAATTCCAAACCTAATCCTAACAACAATGGCAAAAATTATTTTGTGAAATGAGCTGTCAACAAAATATACTGCCTTTGATGAACATGCCTGTAAAATAATCGTCTGTAGAATAAGCCTATCGTGAAATGAGTGTTGGTGAAATGTGATGTCTTTGAAGTGATAGTTTATGAGTCGATTGGAACCGACAATGAATTACTAAAATACTGCAATGAAAGATCGCGAAGAAGCACATTGAAATATTTGGAAAAGGTCAATGCAAGATTGGGAAAGAGCATTGATAAATTGAGACAGCGCAATGAAAGACTGAGAAAGGTTTTTATATTAACCTTCTGTCTACTTTTAGAGCTGTTACATTAATTTGTTTATTAGACTTAGCATTAGCATCATGACAAAGGTTTATAGTAATTCAAGTAAATTAAATTTTTATGGCTTGCTAAGTCATTAATTAAATATTATTGGCTTAGCCGCTTAGCTAATAATTAGTGATTGAAAGCTATGTCGATATTATATAAATTTTCTTATCTATTTAAATAGAACTTCATAATATGGGCTGCCGTCAATAGAAATCAGGCAGATTGACATTTGAAAAAAAATCTATACCTCAACTTTCACAGCTCATATCGGTGAATTTTGATGCGATTTTGATGATTCAATATTCAAAAGAAAGCTTAGAACTATTTCTTTTGAATACTAAATCATCAAACTAACTTCCAAATTCATCGAGATATGAGATATGAAAGTTGAGGTAAATATTTCTTTTAAAATGTCTGTCTGTCTGATTTCTATTGACGGCAGCCCATATATCAATATATTTAAATTTTGCTGAGTTTAGGGTTAACAAATAACTAGCATAATAAATTGTCAATTTAAAAAATTACACAAAAATAAATAATTGATGGAAATTATTCAAAACTAAAAATAAAAAAAGTAAAAAAATAAAATAAAATAAAAAAATTTCAGTCAGCTAATAAGCTAAGCAGCTGGCTAAACAGCTGGCAAATCAGCTTAGAATACTAAAAGTTCAAATGAAAAAAAATATTAATATTAAAAATTTTATTAATGAAGTATTTGTTATATTAAGGCTTGAATTACTTTGATATCTACTAAATTTATATAAAAATTATGTATAAAGTAAGTATTTCTCTTACTTCCAAATCTTCAGTCTTTTACCGTAGAGCACTGCATAAAGTACCCCAAAAATAGGACCCCCTTGATTAAGACTCGGGTATTATTCACCATCCATCTGGCTCAATTCTTGAATAATACCTGGGGTAAAATTCTATTAAATTTATTATTTTCATATGTTATATCCCATATATAGTACCCGGTTCCTCACATAGTACCCGCGGGTACTATTCAATTTAAAAAATGGTGTTCTTGAATAAGACCCCAGGTACTGTATGCAGTGCTCTACGGTACTATCAACTACTAATATACCTTCTTACTCCTACTATAACTACGACCAATTCAATATGTTAAATGTATTGGAACTGTTGAATTAGGGGATGTGATTAATAGTTTTTATATAAATCTACCAGACTCTATACAAGCCAATGTACAACTCTTTGAGTGATTGAGTATGCAATACAAACTTGTTTAAGTTGTGTTATTTGTGTTAGAATTATCAACATTACTAAGTTCCTTCTTGGCCTTTACCATATAACTCATGAATGAAATTAATGTAGATTTAGAATTCATATGAAGTCCAAGTTAATACAAAATTTAAAAGCAACTTATGTTGATTCCATATTTGGTACTATATAAATTTAATAGTAACTTAAGTTGATTTTAAATTTGATACTATAATAAATCATGATATTCTGTATTCTAGACAAATTTGCCTGGAATTTTAAAAAGTATTTTAAATAAAATTAAAAATTGTTAATAATATAGGGTATATTTTATAGGATTTTATAATTTACCGCCATGGCGATGTATCGCCACCCTGATCAACCAATTAGAATGTAAGATCAGGTGTAATGTGAAATCGAAGCGATTATGATTTTTCTTCAAAAAATCGGCTATAGCACAAAATTTTGCCTATGAAACTATCTCTCATGCTCTAACAAAAAAAATTCCTCTCAAAATTTTGGGTTAGAATATCTTTGCTAAAGTGCTTTACCCTAACACTAACTCTAACTTAACCCTACCCTCACCCTAACCCTAAACTAACGAATTAATTTTATTGTTTTGATTTCATGTTATACACGATCTTATAGGGTGCGATACATCGCATATGTGATAAAATATAAAATTCTATTTTATATATATTATTTGAAATATATTCTATAAACTTTATTATAAAAATTTTTTAATTTTATTAAAAATCTTTAGAGTAATAAAAGTTTAAGGCTCTTATTTTAAAAATTTTCACTATTAAATTTTTCTTTAAATTTTCTAAATTTTTATATGTTTTTACCTTTAAAAAAAATTTTATTTCTAATACAAATCATAATTTTTATAAATAAATCACTAAAGATACAATAATAAAAGTTGTTATTCTTTATATAAACTTTAATATTGTATTAAAAACTACAGGTTTAAAACTAATATTTAAAAAGTTTGTTAAGGATTTGTAAATTTTTTTAAAAAAATAAAAATAAAAAAATAATCAAAAAATTTTTTTAATGATCATTTGTACCAAAATTTCCTATTAAAAAGAAACCAGTTTTGTTGAAAAGTCATAGTCTAATGTAGAAGTTTGTCTAGAGGTTAATATTTTCTGTATGTAGGACTTCTTTATAAGTGATATTCAGTATGCAAGCCAAGAATGTTATTGTACAAAATAACTGGCAGAAAGTAGTGCTCTTGTATAAAAATCTTGGTAAAGAAATGAATGCCAAGAGAGCTTTTGGTCTTCTCTGTCAATAAAGCTTTTAGGTTATTACTTCAAAGAAGAATACAAGAGAATCAACAAATCTTGTTTTTTTTAAGCCACACTCCTTTTTCTTGGTCAAGTAATTCCTTTTTTACCTATTTTCATCTTCTGTCAGTCTTCCAAAAAAATTTTAACAAAAAGTAGGAATTTGGCTTACTCTCTTCAAAAGATTAGCATTGTTTATATTCAATTTGGAATATCATAGTAGATTGCAACCATGTGTTTGATAGATACAGTGCTACTATAGTCAAACCTCTCTAAATACAACCTTTATAAATACAAGATCTCTTTAAATGCATGATCTTGCTGTGGCTCTACTATATATACACTTATAGATTTTTACCTCCTAAATACAATACCTCTTTAAATGCAAGATTTTTTGTGATCTGTATACAGTACACTTATGAAGAGTTAACTATATTTAGAATCAGGCTCTAGGCAACAAACCCCTAGTAATAGCAGCAGGTGGCTTGAGATACAGGTCTACAGATAGTGGTAGTATCTGGCTTGAAATATAGATTAGAATGGGCTAAATAAAACTATCCAAAGTTAGTCAAAAAGAAAGTTAAATGATAAGGTGAAGCTTTACAAGAAAGATATACAACTATTGTAGTTATTATATAATTTTTTAATAACTATATACAGGTTGTAATAGTGCCTTTAGAATTTTATATTTTTTTTTTTTTTTTTTTCTTTTTTACAATCAGTATTTTTTT